ACTTCAGGGGCAACGATCTGCGCCCCGTTCGTGGCATCATCACTAGAAACTTGGGTCAGTCAATGGTGGAGATAACCGATTTGACAGATGCATCTGTCCACCGACGGCACATCGACCAGATACATTTCAGAGACAAACGAACTGTCGGTGCATCGGAACCCCATGATAAAGAGGAAATCCCTACCAATTCTGAGCTGCCTGAATCGGACACTACGGTTCCCCAATGTCATGGTGTTGAACACGAAGATGCAGTAGAACCGGCGGAATCCGAAGCCTCGACCAACGCAACACTAAGGAGTTCACAACGAAAAGCAAGTCAAATTGATGAGGCACTGTTGAGGGAGGAAAGTTGTGGTGATCGTGTAACGAATACGCACGCACCGCGGTACAGCTTCCAGGTAACCAATCGAGAAGCGGGATGACCGACCAACCCTGGGGTCTCAATTGGCATCATCCGGATTGGCTGAGTGCAAGAAGGCAAACAGATAAACCATATCCTTGTCGATTGGACATTCAAGAATCGACCATAAACCATTAGGTACCAGATGTTTTCAAGATGACTTCCTGAAAGATTTCTCGTCCAACTGGATGCATATGTAGAAAGTTTTAACTAATGTTTTTCAATTTGTTTCACCTGAAACTAGACAAACATACCGGTCGCTATGTGTGGAGTAAAACGAGTTTCTTATGCACCTTTAGTGACTAATGAGCTTAGATTTTTTCAGTCATTGGTATGTTGGTTTGACAGAAACTCTTGCATTTGTGTCTTGTGTTTCATGAACCTGCTATATCAGACAATGTATTAAGTATTCCTCAAAAATATCATCGTCTGCGTTTACTAGTCCCGGCTAACAGAAGCAGTATCATTAGCCTAAGTTTCCCAGCCAGAAAGCGGTTTTCAAATGTTATTTATTTTTATAGCAACACATATGTTTCAATAGCCAGCTGAGAAGTGATGTGTTTGCGGAGTGGTTGTATTGGTGTTGATGTTGGTTTTATTTTTGATCGATGATCGAAGCAAATTGATAGTTGGATGATACGTTTGACTTTTGATCACAACAACTGAGAGTTATTTCAGTTCCGTTCTAATGCAGGTTTCAAAACGGGAATGTAATTTGTAGTTTGATGAGTATACAAGCCAGATTCTATCGATCGTGGAAGAATATCACTCCAGAAAGGTTTTCTTACATAAACATAAGCATTTACAGAATGGGAGCAAACATTACGGGTTATTCACAACATGATCATCATCATCGTACAGTGAAACACAGTGAAGCGAACTTTACTGAACGCTGCCAAACTCGCAATGCGTACAAGGTTAGTGGTAAAATTTAAGGTGGACAGGGATTGGATCTATTTTGAGGGAGGGAGAAGAAGGTGAGCCACTATGGTCAACACAGAGTACGTAATCGAACTCTGCATACATACCGTTTCAAACGTTCTGATCTAATAAGAAATTACATCAAGAAAGCCACTGCTGTCGGTTCGCTGCCATATCCTTCAATCTCTCCAACCAACCAGTTGTTGAGTCTTTCGGTCTCCAACATGGAAGGCGAGAGACACGTACTCTACCTAATGGCCCTGTGCATTTCTTCGTGCCTCGTCTCCACGTCATCTATTGACCTCCACGTGGTTTCCTCCAGCCCGGATTAGCTACAGCGAATGAAGCGCGGTGAGGCAGATGATGACTGGGCATACGCAATACGTGCCCCAGCCAGCAATGTTTACCAATTTGAATTCGGTGTGCTAGAAGATTTATACCTGATAGACTCCCAAACACACGACGGCTTACCTCCACGTTACTAACCCGTTGGCTCCATCCAACATGAGCTAAACTGCGTAAACACCAATAATCGAAACGTTTTAGTCGACGAATATCTTCTAATCGCAAATTCAAGGTCTCGCAACCAAAAAGCAGGACTGAACAAACGCCAGCACAATATACACGAACTTTCAATTTCAGTGAAACGTCGTGTCCACGCCAACGGTGTTTCAGTCCTGCGTATACTGCTCGAGCCTTGGAAACGCGGGCGGTTATCTCTTTCATTGGTCGTGCAACTACCTAAGTAAGAAAAATGATCACCATAACTAAATCCTGACCATTTACTTTCAGCATGCTACGCACTGGAGTGATTTTAAACAGCGTCAGCGTCAGAATTTATATCGCGTGATTCACTGAGCCTAAAACACAGCGCTGATTGGAAATTTCAGCTGTGATTTATTTGTACTTCTACGCGAGGAAAGTGTGTCAAATAGCAAAGTGTGATCACATCTCACAGTTCCACGTATACATCCTCCTGACTCACTTGTGTTGGGTAAGCTTGAATTCTACCCAATATTGATGCATAAAACGTATACACACTTGACTTGGAATCGCACTTCGTTGACACTGCAATACTTTACAGAAGATATCATCTATAGAATGATGATGCCGTTTTCGACCTTCATTGGGTGGGGGTGGGCATATTCCGAAAATTATTGTTTCTTAGTAGATGGATAGGAAGACGATTCTGAGTTCATTTTTCCCCTCACTGAACAGACCGACTTTTTATAATTGCTTTCCAGTTTGGATACCCAGTATTTTCAATCTAGAACTCAGACAGGATCATAGGATGTTTCAGCTGCCTATTAATACGGTAGGATTTGTGCCCTAGCAGCCGAGCACTCCCCATTTGACCCCGTTAGATTTTTCTTTTGAAACCGATTATGGTCTGTTGTTTCCGATCTTTAGGGAAACTGAATGAATATGTCCTTTTTATTCGTGAATTAGAGAAGACTGATTATGGACACTTCGATTGGTTCATTTGCCAATGTGGATGAAATTACTAGCTCAATAAAAGAAATCCCGTAGATTTTAAGTCTAAATGAGTAAAACAATCACTCTCGAACTTTATCACAAACATTAATAATGCGATGATACTGTGAGCGATAGCGCAAAAGCTCTGTCTAGAGAGGGGTATTCATCATAACTTATGAATTACTTTGTTCCCAATAAGCTTAGAGTTTTCTCGTTCACAAAACAAATAAGCAGTGGTCAGTGACAGGTTCTCCTCTATGAAATGATCTGGACGTTTTAAGACGAAGGTCATTTCACGCTATTACCCAACTACTCCACAATCACTGGACTCTTCCAGAAACCATTTGTTCCATCCTAAAACGGTCCGGTTTGAGGAAAACGCTCTATACGTTTTTCACAGATGAAGCGGTATGCTTTTCGCTTTATCAGAAAAAGACCCATGAATTCTTCGCATTTTTCCGGAAAACTTAAATCCGAAGCGTTCAGTCCGACCAAATGTGTTTTATTTGTCGTCGTCCGTTAAGTCCATTTTGCAACACCTGACAACTGACTTGTTTTTCACGAGCAGTAACAGCTCAACACAAAGCGGTCGACTGTTCTCACCACAAACGATTCAGGAGGATGTATGAGTGACCTGTGATTTGTGATCGTGCTTTTCCATTGGACACCAGTATCGTCGGGTAAAACTGCAAATAAATCACAGCTGAAATTTCTACTCAGTGTTATGTTTCCGGTTTTGTATTTTAATAACCCGTTGGACTAAAAACTATGAAAAGTAATCAGTTTCATTGCTGTATAGTTGGGGATCAGTTACAAACGATACGACCTTTGTGACTGTTGGGTATTCCAATCCTCAAAGAACGGATAAGAATGCTTGATTACTTTCTCGATTACTCTTTCTCTGATTACTATCTCGAACAGATAAAGGTTTTCATTGGGACGAATTATTATTGTTTGACCGAATTGTTATGTAGTTAATCCCATACAACCTAGATTTCTAGGCTTTTCACAAGGTACACCGGAGATTCGGAATCACATAATTTGATTTCACAAAACAACATCCAGTCACGCATACCATCATCCTAACCTAATCAATCGCCGGCGAACCGAGGTACGTCTCATGGGATGAGAGGAATACCAAACCATTTCCGATAGAGACTTTCGTTATTATTCATATCTGTTTTCTGCCTATTTCACTCTAAGCTATCAATTTGAAGTGTGCATGCTCACGGCGTTTTGGGGGAAATCACACTTTGCAGGGTTTTTAAGAGGGTAAGGTAAAAATCACAGATGCCTTTTGTGATTCGGTGCTCAACGCTCGACTGGCGTCCCCTGTAATGGACTCGGTCATTGATTCCGCTCCGGTCGTGTTAGATCAGCTGGTTTTGCAGAACGCAAACCCTGTAGTCCAGCCGTAGCACACATATGCACACGCAAATGAATGAGATTGTCACGCCAATCATGGTATAACTGAAACTAATAAACCTGAGAAACAAGAGGACAATTCACCATGGATCAGATTGTTTCCCCTGAACCGTAATCAACAAAAAAGAAACGATCTACCTCAAAAGCTGTCAGCTTACATGAACCGTGTGCACAGCGACGGTTGAGGCTTGTTCGGCATTTTCCTTCAGTTTCTGTGCGTGTGTGTGGACGGGATTTAGTATCTAGGCCAAAGGCGAACAGACGCACAAATTGGGAAGCACATGCCACTACAGTCAATTGCGCTCAGTTTCCCCTAACCGATGAGCCAACCGCAGTATTCATACTTGGTTTCGGCGCTTGCCTACGCTCAAACACACACATGTAACTGGTGACTAACACAATACCGCGCAGAGTTATGGGATATCCGTTTCGGTCATATTGGAACTTTTCAACCATCCAACAAACCCAGCCAGCACAGTCCGGTTTTTCTGTTCATTCTTAGTAACATTACAGACTTCGAGGACTGCAACCATTAATTAAGGCCGTTCATAGGACAGGCACTATACATCGTGGGATTTTCTTTGCCTGTGTGCGTGTGTGTGTGTGTGCGGAGAGGCAAGCAGATGTGTCTAAGATGGGCACAGCAAAGGTTGAACTGCATTTTACAAGATCACCGGAATCGCCGAGAGTTGTAATTCAACTAGACAAGAAATTTATATAAATGTTTCTGTGTGCGAGCAATAATTACAAGGAAAAGTCTATTGATTTTGAAACTCCAGTTATGATTGATGAAGATTTGGAGAGGCGGGAGGAGGAGGAGGGGGATTCACACTCGTTCGACAAAATGTGAATTATATCGGTTCGGTCGCTCCGTTCTTATACAATAAAACAAAATAAACTGCGATTATGTTTCTAACAGTCTCGTTTTTGAATGTTCTGTCGTTCTGGGAAGAAGAGAGAATTGGCATTTACCGAGAAGTAGTTAGAATCACTTGAAAAAAAACACAGCAAAGGACATTAAGGTCAGATGAGAAATAATAGACTTCACTTATGTCTCCAGGTGAATAACCAAGGTAGGCAAAGTGAAAACCCAGCCTCATACGCGTTTAGCAAAATCTGATACAAGACAAAACTTTACCGGTAGAAACTGTCCACCAATTTCCACCAATTAGTTCTATTCCACAGTCCGTGCGAAATGTCCTCATACAATGACCTCAGTGAGATCCGTTCCATCCATGGATCTCGTGTTATTAACCTCATACTATACTCTGCCATGACAAGAATAGGCTTGAATAATTCTTAGAAAACTTGGACGATTAACAGTAGTCATGGTGCAAATGATCTACGCGAGATGAGTTCCGATTTTGCTTTCGTTATGTGCTATTAATTTTCCATTAGAATGACATTTCAAGTACACCCGGGGTGACAATCAGCACTGTGTAATGTCATCTCAAAATAATTGCCGCAGATTGTCAGGTCCGAAGTTGCTTCCATTGGGTCACTGCGGATTTCAGGACATCGCAGGTGATATTTTGCGATGAATGTCGGTGATCACTGGAACATCAGAATTTCGTCTCTAACAACATTTGACGATCCAGTAATACTTCTTGTGTGCGTTGTATGTATATGTGTATCAGTATATCACTACAGAAGTGTAGATCTTTGACCTCGTGAAATTCATTTAAACGTTCGGAACAGCTTCCAAATTTTCCCACAACTCATCATCTAATACTTTGTGTAATTTTAAGACCGAACTCACCATAGACAAATTAGGCGAATAATCAGTGCGTTCGGCGTTTAGAACAAAAGCGTTTTACGAATGCTACGCCAAATTCCATTTCTGCTAATTAGAGTTTTTAAGTTTGCGTGTGTACGATGAGCTTGGAAATGTAATTTGGGACATGTTGGTTACCTTTTGCACAAAGTTCTTTTGAGGGAGTTTGCAAATTGTTGAAAGTTCTGTGCATTAACTACTGTATCAATGAATCAATAGCTGAAGGTATCTTTCAACGAGTGGAGTAAGTGAACTGATTATATAAATCACTATAAAAATATACTCGAAACAAATTTCAGATATGACCCTCATTCACACAACGAATCGCTGAATACACGAATAAATCTATCGTTAGGTGCTAGAATAACCCGAGTTTCTCAGATAATTATATTTGGATTTTGGAAAAGAGCGCTTCTAATATGTATGGATGAATCAGTGAAACTGATCTGAGGGTAGATCAAGGAATCGGAATCGGCTGCGTCATGATCATCCATGTTATCAGGGCGCAGAGGGTTGCTTGATTGTAGTACAGATGATTATGACCATATTTAAATACAAATAAACGGGCACGTCTATATACGGTGGCAACCTTTTGTGTTGTCCAATGCACTGAGAACGGAAATTCACTTCTAGCAAAAATGTTGGAGAATGATATTACTAAACTTCCTCTAGGATCGATAATGTTTGAATGGGGTGTTCGAAAAAAGAGTATAAGAACAATTATCGTGAGGGGCGTAATCAATAAGTTGTTTTCGAATTCTCTTGTTGTCTGTTGAATAGTTCATTTTTGGAGCAATTTAGCGGGAAAGGAAGAAGTGGCTCCACGGTCATAATTGTACCGCACCGGGGTGAAACGTTATTTGGCACTGTACAGAACGTTTCAACCTATCTGGGTAATTAACCAGCCTGTGCATTTTCGTGGGTTCTCGAGAAACAAATAATGTGTTTTTGTAACTTTTTCGATGTACGTTTCCAAAAGTACTTGCCTCCCAATCCATTGTTTGTTTACATCATTTCATTTGCCTCACCGAGGATGATTCACATTGCCCTATCTGAAAATGAAACTCTATGTTGTTTACTTTTATATGTATCATACTGTTCTGTTTGTCCTTGACCGTCTGTTTGAAACCCACTCACCTGCTTGCTAGAGTTGCTGTCTGCTGTCGCAAAAAGGCCAATCTCGTCTGTTACGTTACTTGTATAGACAGACGCTGGAATGCTTGCGCCCCTTCGAACGGTCTAAAGATCATTTATAACAGGGTCTCTGGATTATTTACTCCTAGTTAGTCGATTAAACTATAATTCATTCTGTCAACAGGTTTTCAACTTAGTATTCTCTGCATGTGGGCTAGCGAATGAAATAACAACCGCGTAGTTGACCTTCATACTCTACGAGTAACGGGGTTGGAAATAGCACCGCAATAAAGTTAAAATTCCGTAGCCCAGATGAAGACCAGGTAAACAAACTT